CCACTTCTTCCCGAGTGACAGCTGCAGGCCTGCCATGCACACCCATTTCTGTACTGCGACGCTCAGCAAAGTCCAGGCGCGACGGGGTGATGGGGTCCCCCGTCCCCTCTTTTGTGAAATGCAACGTTGATCCTGCATAGTGTCTGATCGTTTCATTGCGTTCCTATTTTTGTTTGGCGATTGGCTTTCGATCCCGGCCCTGATCCTCTTCCTCCTCCCCCTCCCCCTCCTCATCATCGTCACCCCACCCATGTCGCACCCCGAGGCCGATCGAAAAGTCGGGCCGGGCGTTTTCCCTCGGACTTCCCCGCCATTTCTGGTCCTGAAGCTTAGAGTTCGCAGCAGCTTCACGGATGGAGGGCACGTCGTGTTTTCAAAATGTGGCTCTCACCTGGGTGCCGCGCGCACCCGTCTGAAAAATGCGCAAGTTCAGCATGTGGCCCTCGCCTGGGCGCCACGCACATTCGCCTTAACGATTTGCATGAGTTTCACGGATTGAAGGCGGCTCTTTTTCAAAATGTGGTTCTCGCCTTAACGCCGCGCACAAACGTCTCAAAATGTACAGGAGCTTCACGGATGGAGGGCAGGTCGTTTTCAAAATGCGGTTTCCGCCTGGACCCCGCGCGCATCCATGTTAAAGATGCACAAGAACTTAACGGATGGAAGGCGGGTCGTGTTCAAAATGTGGCCTTCGTCTGAGCACCGCGCACATCCGCCGCAAAACTGTGCAAAAGCTTCACGGATGGAAAGCGATAGTTTCCTATATGTGGTTCTCGCGTGGGCACCGCGCACACTCGTCTTAAACATACACAAGACCTTCACGGATGGACGGCAGGTCGTTTTCAAAATGTGGCGTTCGCCTGGGCGCCGCGCACACCCGTTTAGAAAATACACAAAAAAACTTCGCGGATGAAGAGCAGGTTGTTGTCAACATGTGGCTTTTGACTGGGCGCCGCGCGCTTCTGTCTGAAAAATGTGTACGAACTTCACGGATGAAGGGCAAGTCGTTTTCAACATGCGGCTCTCGCCTAGGCGCCGCGCGCATCCGTTTTAAAAATGTGCACGAGGTTCAAGGATGGAAGGCGGGTGCTTGTCAAAATGCGGTTTTTCGCCTCAACGCCGCGCACATTCTTGTTCAAACTTTACAACCCTTTCAAGGATTATCATGGGCAACGCCCCAGAAACGGCGCATGTGCACGACGTCGGACTGTCAGGGCGCAAAAGTTACGTTTTTTCGTGGGGTTGAAGTCCCAAGAATGGCGCCATGGCACGATTCAGGATCGCCAAGACGCAATAGTAGCTGTGATTCGCGGCAATGAAGTCACAGGAGCAGCGGTCTGGCACAATTCACGCTTTTCAAACTGTTGCTTTCCAACGAGGCACTTCTCTCGGTGAGGGTGAATTCTGGTATGGGGCCGATTCGGAGGGAACTTGAGATTGAAAAGGTGCTCCAGAAAATGCCTGCGTAAGCAGTGATGCCGGGGGATGGAGCAAGATGGTGATGCAGGAGAAAAGGGCGCACTTTTCTCCTACACCACCTCGAATCGTGCACTGGCAACGCCGCCAGCGCAGGCAGATTGCGCGGCGCTGCCTTGGGCCCAAAAACCAACGAAAGAAGGCAAACATGCGCCCCCACCCTGGAACGCACCCTCAAAGTCTAGCGGGGGGGAACGAAGCCTGCCCGCCGTCTAAACATAGGCCCAAGGCTGCCGCAGAGGAGCAGGCAGCCGCCTAACACGGCTGCCACCGTTCCAGTAAAACAAAGACCAGGAAAAGCGAGAGTGCGGAATACCGCGTCGTGGTTCCATGGCCTGGTGATCAGCGCAAGTCGTAGTCGGATGATCTCCTCCTCCTCCTCCTCCTCCGCGTCCTCCCCCTCTCCTTCCCCCCCCCCCCACCGCATACTCCTCACTATTCGTCCTCCTACTCCACCTCCTCTTCCTTCTCCCCTCACCCTCAACACCCTCCCACTCCCCGTCCTTCTCCCTCATCCGCCCTGATCCACCTCCCTCGAAGACGACGCCGCCGACGACGCCGCCGACAACGCCCAGCAGAAACGCCTGGGGCGGCGCGGCGTAGCCGTGCGGGTGCGGCGGGTAGCCCTCGCCGCCCTGCACACGTTAGCGACGACGCTGGCAGCAGCGGCGGACGACAGACAGATGGCCGACGACGACGACGACGAAAACGATGACAAAGACGAAGGCGAAGAAGACGACCACGATCACGACCAAAAAGACGACGACGACGACGACGACGACGACGACGACGACGACGACGACGACGACGACGACGACGGGGCGGGAGGAGGGAAGAGGGAGGAGGATTAAGAAGAAGGAAGGGGAAAGGAAGAGTGGGACGAGGATAAGGAAAGTGGAAGGAGGAGAGACAAGGAGGAGAATGAGGAGGAGAATGAGGAGGTGGATGAGGCCAGAGAAGGGTGAATGAGGAGGTGTATGAGGAGGTCCCCCCCAGTCAGAGGTCCTCTTTCCTGGGACTCACACTCCTCCTCCTCCTCCTCCTCCTCCTCCTCCTCCTCCTCCTCCTCCTCCTCCTCCTCCTCCTCCTCCTCCTCCTCCTCCTCCTCCTCCTCCTCCTCCGCTCCTCCTCCTCCTCCCTCCTCCTCCTCCTCCTCCTCCTCCCTCCCTCCTCCTCATCCTCCTCCTCCTCTCTCCTCCTCCTCCTCCTCCTCCCTCCTCCCTCCTCCTCCTCCTCCCCTCCTCCTCCTCCTCCTCCTCCTCTCCTCCTCCTCCTCCTCCTCTCTCCTCCTCCTCCTCCTCCTTCCTCCTCCTCTCCTCCTCCTCGTCCTCCTCCTCCTCCTCCTCCTCCTCCTCCTCCTCCTCCTCCTCCTCCTCCTCCTCCTCCCCCATCCTTCTCCTCCTCCTTATGCTCATCCTCCTCCTCTCCTCAGGCGTCGGTGGTCGAAGAATCTCGACAGCACCTTCCTGGCTACGGAGTCCGCAGAGGACGACTGGGGCGAAGAGACCGAGACCACCGAGGACTTGGCGAGCGTGGAAGGGATGAGTGCGCAGCTGCAGTCTGAGCGCGACCTCTGCACCGACCGACCATCATCAAGAACGGGCTCGTCTAAGGGCCACTCGCTCGGGCAGGAGATCCGCGACGTGGGCTCCTGAGCTGGCCGCCGTCGATGCAGCCGATTGGTCTGCTCATCAGCCGCTGGGCCCATCGTCGCCACGGCTGGCTGGGCTCGGCTCGGACTGCTGGGGGCTCCACCCCGAGGCCTGGGCGGGCCGAGGGGTGGAGCCGCAGTGCACGAAGCGGCGCGGTCGTCCTTCCGTTGCTCGAAGCGTGCGCGGAGCGTAGGCCGCCCTCGGCGGGCGCACGGGCAGACGCTGCGTCGTGCCTTCTGCACTCTGCCCGGGCGTCCGTCTTGGCACGGCGCCGTGGGCGTCAGGGGCGGGAGCGAGAAGGGGAAGGCGTGGGAGCTGGAAGAGGAAAGAGGAGCGGGGGGGTAGGAGAGGAGGAAGAGAAGGCAAAGACAGGGAAGGAGACTGCGGTAGGAGGCAGGAGGAGAAAGGGGAGATGGAGGAGAGGAGGAGGAGGAGGAGGAGGAGGAGGAGGAGGAGGAGGACACGGCATCCCCGCTGAAAAGATGAGGGTCCCATGGACCTGAACGATGAGAGCTCTACGCGCTTTGTGCAACAATTCAACGACGATTAGATTGAGGTTGAGAGAAAAGCATCCACCCACGCAACTGGTTGGTAGGAGCCTCCAGAAAAATGCGTGGCGCCACACGGGGAGTACGAGTTCGAAAGAAACAGACCTCCATCCGTGCAATTGCTGGAACTACCAAGCTTCACTGTCGAAACAAACAGAAGTCGCACACAAGAGCCCGAGTTCACAAGGAACCAGTAATCATTCCTGCAGCTGTCAGGAAACTGGTACGTAATGACCACAACATCTGGAGGACTCAGGCGAGAACCAAATTTTGAAAAGGGGTGTCCTACATCCGTGGAGCGATTGGAACATGCCGAGGAAATCTCGGGCGACAGCCACGTTTTGAAAAGGTAGCGACCACGGTCCACGCAGCCGTTGAAGTCCAAGCTTCATAGCCACAAAGCGTTAGGAAAATCTCGGACGAGAGACACAAATTGAAAAGACAAATCTCTCTTTTTTATATATATATATATATATATATATATATATATGCCCACACACGTATATATATATATATATATATATATATCCGAGTAATTGAATGCCAGGACATGTCAGGACGAATGTGCGCGATAACAACCTCATGAAAACATACCAAACTTCGCAACGTTTGGACACATGTTCCAACTAATCTGCGCGGCGCTGGAGCGAAGACCGCGCTTTGAAACCTGATTGCACTTCATCCGTGTAGTGTTCGCAGCAGGCGTGGGGCTGGGGCGCGGACCCCATTCGTGAAAACAGACCGCCCTGGATTTGCAGAACTGTTGTTTCAAACTTGGTTCAACGGCTGGCGGCGAGGAGGTCGGAGCAACACTTTGAAAACTCATCGTCATTCACCTCCGTAACTGTTGAAACCAACCTGTTCAGACGAATGCGTACGGTGCTGAGGCGATGAACTCATGTTGGAAACGGACCGCCCTCCATCCGTACAACTCCTCGAAATGTCGAGCTTGCGGAGCATACGCTGTGAAGCCTCAGGCGAAACGCCCAGATCGCGGTACCGAAACGCCAAGGCAGGATGATGAGAGAATGCTTATAAGGAAGTGGAGTAAAAAAAGGGAGGAGAGAAGCAAGAAAACGGGGAGAGAGAAGGAAAGGGAAAGAGATAGGAGAAGGGAGAACGAAAGAGGTGGAAGGGGGAGAAGGAGGACGAAAAGGAGGGCCAAGGGAGAGGGGAAGGAATAGTCAGAAGGAAGGCAGGGAGAAGATAGGGGGAGATATGGGGAGGAGGAGGAGGAGGAGGAGGAGAAGGAGGAGGAGGAGGAGGAGGAGGACGGGGGAGGTGGAAGATCGCGACGGCTGCATTCCCTCCCTCCCTTCCCCGTCCTCCCTCTCACGATTAGAGCCCGCATTCGCTATCACCGACGCGCACGCACCAACCGGCATCGTTTCTGAGCTTCGCAGGCGATACGCATCGCTTGAAGCCTGAATGGCAGGGCAGCCTGAATGGCAGGGAGGTGCTCTGCGGCATCTCTCCAGGTTTGAAAAAGCCACCAGCTACAAAACGCAACCCCGAAGGGGAGAAAACTAGAGGCCTCCTAGATAGGGTCCGAGCAGATAGGGTCAGAGGATCTCGCCGCCGGCGATGAATCGGCGATGCATCGGCCATGCACTTGCGACGTCGGCGATGCATCGGCGACGTCGGCATGGAGAAAAATATGCCCCACATCGAGCCGCATCGCTGATGCATCGGCGATGCATGGGCGATGCGGCCCGATCCTCCGACCCCATCTACTCCGACCCCATCTAGGAGGACTAGAAAAACACGGCTACTGCGCCCCATGAGCCCTCAGCACCTGGATCACGGCCTCGTGCTTGTTCTGCGTGGCGACGTCGAGCGGCTTTCGCCCCTGGGCGTTGGCCTGCAGATTCGGTGAGCATCGCAACGGAAATCGAATCGAATCGGAGCGTGCGTCGGACCAGGCCGCATCAGCACGGAGTCGAAATCGAATCGGAGCGGCTGCGCCAGTGCACAACATCGCCATGCAAGCATCTGGCCACATCGGATTGTCAGAATGTCGGAACCGAATCGGCCCGGGCAGGCTGGAATCGATATCGAATCGGATCGAATTGAACCCTGGCCTGTGCCACGCTGGCTCCGGTCTTCAGCAGGTACTCTACCAGCTCCTTGCGACCGTAGCCCGCCGCGTAGTGTAGCGCGGAGTTGCCACTGGCGTCCACAGCGAACGGATTGGCCCTGCTGTCTAGCAGCAGCTTGACGACCGCGATGCGATTGCCGCCCACAGCGTAGCCCAGCGGGGTGATGCCCTTCGAGTCCTGTGCGTCCAGTGGCCTCTTCTTCTCCAGGTACTCCTGGACCGCCTTGAGGTCACCCATCTTGGCCGCCTCGTGCAAGGTCATTGGCGTCTCGTCGATCTTCTGCAGCGCCGGCTTGAGCTCCTCCGGCACACCGCCCATGGCCTTGCTAAACTTGAGCATCAGCTCCTCGTCCTGGTAGTGCTTCATGATCCCCTCCATTCCGTTCTTTTTGATGTCCTCGATCCGCCACCGTGCCGTGGGCACCAAGTGCAGTGCCCTCAGGTCCCCGGGAGTTCTCTGCGTTGAGTATCGTCGTACTCTTCGAATGGCCCGGGGGCCCAAGGACGGACTTCCTGGGGCTTCTCGCAGGACTTTCGGGGCTGGTCGCATGACTCTCCCACAGGCCAAGACCAACAGAATCCCAAGAGGCCCGCAGGACGGTCCAAGAGGCCCCCGAGTCGGTCCAAAAGCGCCCCGAGACGCCAAAGATGCCCTTCACAAGGCCCAAGAGGCCCCCAAGACGCCCAAAGAAGGCCCCCAAGAGGCCCCAAGAAGCCAAAATCAAGAATCCCCTGTAGGTTTTCAAAAAATGCTAGCGTTCTCGCCTGTTCGAGCGTCCACTGCTCCAAGACGGCCGAAGAGGCCACGAAGGGGGCATCAAGACGGCCAAAGGACGCTCTAAGCCAAGAGGGCCCCGAGAGGGGCCCGAGAGGAGAAGCCTGAACTGCAATTTCGAGCCTTCCCAAAAAAGTTGTCCCCAACCGCCAGGAGGCCCCCCAAGAGGCCCCCCAACAGGCACCCAAGGCCCCCATAGTTCCCCATGGGCCCTCAAGATGCCCCAAGAGACACCCAGGAGGCCCCCAGAGGCCCAAGAAATGCCTTCGAGATGCCCCCGAGGGGCTTCCCACTAGACCCCAAGAGGCCACTAAGAGGCCGCCTGTCCACGACCAAGGCACGGTGGCAGGATGGGCTTACCACAGGGATGCTGGGCGCCAAGGTTTAGAAATCGATTGCCCTTCCAGAAGATTACCACACAGGCCCCGAGGAAAGGTCATCTCCCATCGGGTTTCCTGCTTGGATGGCCTCAAAAAGAATTCCGACATGGCCAAGGTGGCCCAAGACGCCCTCCAAGACGTCCCAAAGACGGTAAAGATGGCCCCAAGAGGGCCCAAGATACCTCCAAGCCGGCCCCAGGATGCTTCGAGACGGCCAAAACCACTGATCGTCGTAAGGCATGCCAATAATCGTGTTCTCCACTTTGCAGGCTTCCGACAGCCGAAGACGGACCAGGGGGCCAAAAATATCTCCATGACGGCCGAATAAACCCACAAGAAAGCCCAGGCCCCGAAGACGGCCTCCGAAGACGCTCCACGGGTCAAGAAGGCTCCAAGGCGGCTCAAGAAGTCTCCAAGAGACCCCCAGAGGCCCCCACGAGGCCCCCAGGAGGCCCCCAAGAGGCCCCCAAGAGGTCCCTCAAAGGCCCCCGAGAGGCTCCCAGGAAGCCCTCGGGAAGCCCCACGAGGGCGCCAAGAGGCCTCCTCATCATCCTCCTCCCCTGCCTCCTACTCATCCTCCCTCTCTTCCACAATTACACAGTTTGAATACAATCTCCCCTCTCCCCTGACTCTATGCGGAAGAGGTTCGGCCCTCTCCGCGTGCTGTTGCTTATACACAGAATGTCAAAGGTTGGTTTGTCTTATAATTTGTTACAACCCGATTGCTCGCGGTGCTTCAAGAATGGTGCTCCGACTGCAGCGTGGGCCTTAGTTTCGGATCGGCGCATTGCTGCCGTCGTTCAGAATGGCGTTCTCGCAATAGCGAGGGCCACTTTTCTGAACCCGAGTCTTTCTTCATCGTTGTCGCCCCCATCAATTATCCGCCTTCCCCCGGTCCTCCTGTTTCTCCCGTTCCTTCCACTCCAGTTCCTGTTGCTGCTGCTGTTGTTCGTCGTCCTCCTCCTCCTCCTCTCATCCCCACCACCACCACCACCACCACCACCACCACCATCATCATCATCATCATCATCATCATCATCATCATCATCATCATCGTCGTCGTCGTCGTCGTCGTCGTCATCATCATCATTAGCAGCAGCAGCAGCATCATCAGCATCATCATCATCAACATCATCATCCTTTTCCTCCTCCTCATCCATTTCATCCCGCTCATCCTCCTGCTCACCCGCCACCTCCTCCTGTGCACACAGCTTCCCATCATTATCGAATGCGCATACCACGCTGTGGCCCTTTTGTTGGAGTTGCAGGTCGGCTAGGACACGCATCCGCGAATACGAAAAAACAGCGAAATGGGACGAAATGGGGGGGGGATATGATGTCAGATGAGGCGCGAGCGCATCTAGCTTGTCCTGTATCTCTCTCTCTCTCTCTCTCTCTATCTCTCTTTCTCTCTCTCACCCAAGCATGTCCCCAAGGGGTTCAACGACGGCCGGGGGGGGGGCACACAGTCCAACTTCTTGGCAAGACTTTGGCCCAGCGTTCAGCCATGTCGGTACTTCCCGACAGGCAGGTCCGCGGTGGTTCGCCGCAGGCGTCTTCGATGATGGGAGCGAGCTCGGGGTCCTGTTCCAACGCCTTCATTCGGCTCTGCACCTGGTCGTCGGCGCTCCCGAGCTTCTTCTGGTAGAAGTCCGCCATGGCCTGCGTCTGCAGCCAGCCCCGCATTGCCTCGGGGTCCTTGGAGAAGCTCTGCAGCTTCTTGGCCATGTCTGGGTTGCCTTGGAGGTACTCCTTCACCTCGCTCCACGTCGAATCGTCTACGCCAGGCACCTTGGCGAGGCTAATCTCGGTGCCGTCGCCCAGACGGACAACATCTGGGGATGCCACGGCAGCCGCCATTGCCGCGGGTGGGAGTTACTGGGCAGGGAAAGGCTCAAAAATGCTCTGCTCAAGCCACGCTTGAACCGAACTTACGCCTACGTAAGTTCGTACGCGCATGCCTGCACGCGTGACGTATGCGATGAACGCGTGCGCGTTCGAGCATATGCGATGCGCGCGTGCCTGTACGCCTATGCATGGAAATGGTTATGCATGCGTGCAAATATGTCAGTGTGAGTTCTGCGCACAGGTAACGTATCAAACGAAAAACCTCACACAATATCACGTCGCGACGCATTACACCATGAAAGAGTCACGGAACGCTCCGTTGGAGGGCGCTGTCTCGCATTCTACTGGTACTGCGGACGCACTCGAATGTACACACGCAAACACACAAACACACAACAGCACAACAGCACATTATACGTGGCGTGCGTACAGGAAACAACTTGCGCACAGACGCACGAGCAGTCATGCATAATGCACGCTGGCTTACACTGCATGACAATATGTAAGGGCACGTTACGTAAAAAAAAACATGTGTCTGGTATGAGTCAAGCAAATCCGTGTAAATATATATATATATATATAATAGAGAGTTACGTGCATGCATGCGTAGCGCATAGCGGGGTAGGGTTGCATAGGAAGGCGTGCCCATCCATTGTATAACATGGCGCACCCTATCGTGTCGTATCATAGCATGACATAGTATAGCACTGCATTGATACACGTTCGGTCACAGCACGTTGCATCACTTTCGTCGCATTACATCAAATCGCATATCGTCAAACGCGCACGTAAAGCACAAGTGGCATTGCTTCACAATGCGTTACGTTGAAGGGCCCTGCATCATGGCACACCGCGCAGATGTAAATTCGTACGCACACGCGCACCGACGCAGGCAAGGCGGCTCAGCAATGAGTGAAACACGCACGCACGCACACACACACACACACACACACACACACAGACAAAAATTATCCTGGCGAAAGACCCAACCATAAGCAATTGTTGGTAACGCGTTGTGGGTGCCGCTTTCGGTGGGGCTCCATATGGGGCCACGAAGCGCTGCCTTGGATAGGGGGAACCGCATGCGGACTGCGCCACCGGGGCGGGCCTTCGGTGGAGCTCCCTATGGGGCTACGAAACGCTGCCCTGGGTGGGGGAACCGCATGCGAACTGCGCCACTGGGGCCTTCGGTGGAGCTCCCTATGGTGCCACGAAACGCTGCCCTGGGTGGGGGAACCGCATGCGAACTGCGCCACGGGGGCCTTCGGTGGAGCTCCCTATGGGGCCACGAAACGCTGCCCTGGGTGGGGGAACCGCATGCGAACAGCCACTGGGGCCTTCGGTGGAGCTCCCTATGGGGCCACGAAACGCTGCCCTGGGTGGGGGAACCGCATGCGAACACCCCCACTGGGGCCTTCGGTGGAGCTCCCTATGGGGCCACGAAACGCTGCCCTGGGTGGGGGAACCGCATGCGAACACCCCCACTGGGGCCTTCGGTGGAGCTCCCTATGGGGCCACGAAACGCTGCCCTGGGTGGGGGAACCGCATGCGAACACCCCCACTGGGGCCTTCGGTGGAGCTCCCTATGGGGCCACGAAACGCTGCCCTGGGTGGGGGAACCGCATGCGAACACCCCCACTGGGGCCTTCGGTGGAGCTCCCTATGGGGCCACGAAACGCTGCCCTGGGTGGGAACCGCATGCGAACACCCCCACTGGGGCCTTCGGTGGAGCTCCCTATGGGGCTACGAAACGCTGCCCTGGGTGGGGGAACCGCATGCGAACACCCCCACTGGGGCCTTCGGTGGAGCTCCCTATGGGGCACGAAACGCTGCCCTGGGTGGGGGAACCGCATGCGAACACCCCCACTGGGGCCTTCGGTGGAGCTCCCTATGGGGCTACGAAACGCTGCCCTGGGTGGGGGAACCGCATGCGAACACCCCCACTGGGGCCTTCGGTGGAGCTCCCTATGGGGCCACGAAACGCTGCCCTGGGTGGGGGAACCGCATGCGAACACCCCCACTGGGGCCTTCGGTGGAGCTCCCTATGGGGCCACGAAACGCTGCCCTGGGTGGGGGAACCGCATGCGAACACCCCCACTGGGGCCTTCGGTGGAGCTCCCTATGGGGCCACGAAACGCTGCCCTGGGTGGGGGAACCGCATGCGAACACCCCCACTGGGGCCTTCGGTGGAGCTCCCTATGGGGCCACGAAACGCTGCCCTGGGTGGGGGAACCGCATGCGAACACCCCCACTGGGGCCTTCGGTGGAGCTCCCTATGGGGCCACGAAACGCTGCCCTGGGTGGGGGAACCGCATGTGGACACCCCCACTGGGGCCTTCGGTGGAGCTCCCTATGGGGCCACGAAACGCTGCCCTGGGTGGGGGAACCGCATGTGGACACCCCCACTGGGGCCTTCGGTGGAGCTCCCTATGGGGCCACGAAACGCTGCCCTGGGTGGGGGAACCGCATGTGGACACCCCCACTGGGGCCTTCGGTGGAGCTCCCTCTGGGGCTACGAAACGCTGCCCTGGGTGGGGAAACCGCATGTGGACACCCCCACTGGGGCCTTCGGTGGAGCTCCCTCTGGGGCTACGAAACGCTGCCCTGGGTGGGGGAACCGCATGTGGACACCCCCACTGGGGCCTTCGGTGGAGCTCCCTCTGGGGCTACGAAACGCTGCCCTGGGTGGGGGAACCGCATGTGGACACCCCACTGGGGCCTTCGGTGGAGCTCCCTATGGGGCTACGAACGCTTGCCCTGGGGTGGGGGAACCGCATGTGGGACACCCCCACTGGGCTTCGGTGGAGCTCCCTATGGGGGCCGACGAAACGCTGCCCTCGGGTGGGGGGAACCGCAATGTGGACACCCCCCACTGGGGCCTTCGGTGGAAGCTCCCTATGGGCCACGAAACGCTGCCCTGTGGGGGGAACCGCATTGGAACCCCCACTGGGGCCTTCGTGGAGTCTCCCTATGGGGCCACGAAACGCTGCCTGGGTGGGGGAACCGGCAATGTGGACACCCCCACTGGGGCCTTCGGTGGAGCTCCCTATGGGGCCACGAAACCTGCCCTGGGTGGGGGAACCGCATGCGAACACCCCCACTGGGGCCTTCGGTGGAGCTCCCTATGGGGCTACGAAACGCTGCCCTGGGTGGGGGCACCGCATGCGAACACCCCCACTGGGGCCTTCGGTGGAGCTCCCTATGGGGCCACGAAACGCTGCCCTGGGTGGGGGAACCGCATGTGGAACACCCCCACTGGGGCCTTCGGTGGAGCTCCCTATGGGGCCACGAAACGCTGCCCTGGGTGGGGGAACCGCATGCGACACCCCCACTGGGGCCTTCGGTGGAGCTCCCTATGGGGCCACGAAACGCTGCCCTGGGTGGGGGAACCGCATGTGGAACACCCCCACTGGGGCCTTCGGTGGAGCTCCCTATGGGGCCACGAAACGCTGCCCTGGGTGGGGGAACCGCATGTGACACCCCCACTGGGGCCTTCGGTGGAGCTCCCTATGGGGCCACGAAACGCTGCCCTGGGTGGGGGAACCGCATGCGGACACCCCCACTGGGGCCTTCGGTGGAGCTTCCCTATGGGGCCACGAAACGCTGCCCTGGGTGGGGGAACCGCATGTGGACACCCCCACTGGGGCCTTCGGTGGAGCTCCCTATGGGGCTACGAACGCGTGAGAGGTGTGCCGAGAGCAGAGGCAAGGAGGGGGAGGAGGGAGGAGGGGGAAGAGGAGGAGAGGAGAGGACGCGGGCACCGTCTCTTCAAAACGAGGACCCAACACCACAGGATGGTTGGGAAAAACACACACACACACACACACACACACACGCGCGCGGGGCGAGGGCCTGCTGGGGCGGCGGGCCGTAGCCCGGCGGCGGGCCGTAGGCGCCGCGATCGGGCGGCGGGCCGTAGCCCTGACGCGGGGCGGGGGCGGCCTGCTTTCGGACAAAGACCGAGCCTCGAGGACCGGGACTCGAGGACGGAACCTCGAAGATCGAGTCTGCAACACCGAGCTTCGAGGACCGAGGCTTCGAGGATCGAGGCTTCGGGGACCGAGCCTCGAGGACCAAGGTGTTTGGGCGTTGTTTGTCGAGATTCGGGGGGTGCCTGCTGGTGGCCACGGCTAGATCCGCCTCGTCATCCTCCCGAAGGAGGGGGCAGGACGGAAGCGGGGAAGGAGGGTTATTTTTTGGCGATTGCCCACACAAGCGTGCGTGTGTGTGTGATTGGCCCGCTGGTCTCGCCCCAGGTAAGGAGCTGGAGCTTCCTCCCTGGCCAAGAACGCATGCCTGGACAGGTTCTTCTCGCAGCTGTGCCTGCAAGGGCCTGCGGGGCTTGAACAAGGGCCTCACCGCGACTTCGGACCGACGCGGGAGGGAGGGGAGACGGCGGGTGATGCTGGGGAAGGCGGAGGCCGAAATGGAGTGGGACGGCCAGACCAGCAACGCTTATGTGACGGATGTGCGGCCCGTCATGCCGTCCTTTGCCCAGTCTGGGTCCATGCAGGCCTGCGCCGTCTCGACGAGGGTGCCCTCATCTCCTGGAGCAGCGCGATCAGGCGAGGCTTCCACCGAGCCCACTTCTGCACTCCAGCCCGTGCCAGCTCTCTTCCGCGGCCGCGCGGCACCTCCGCGCGTAGCGGGTCCCCGCCATCGCACGGGCCCCCAGTGGCGGCGGGGCCTCGGCTGTATATCGGTCGTCCGTCAATCGCAGGCACGCCTTAGCGTCCGCCAGCATGGCTCGCTCAGGGCATCCATGCCACGCCCTACGGCGTTTCTGAACGGATTCTTCAGCAACGGCCCGATCTATGAGTTTTTGTCAACGGTTCCCGCGCCTCCTCCACGCTGAGGCCCGCTGCCTCCGCAACCTGAACGAATGTCCCCTCGAACTCGGCCTCCTCCCACCTCAGCGCGACGCGCGGGCCGAGGTCGTTCTCGTGCAGCACCAATTGCTGACCCGCCGCCGCTCGGCGTCGAGGGCGCACGGCCCAAGGGCGAGCATCTGCCCCCAACCGTTAAAAATCGGCCGAGCAACTGCGCCCAAATGGCCACGGGCATCGGGCAGAGTGAGCGGACACACATTTG